GTGGCCAATTTACGTTTTCAACTCAGTTTTTAACACTAAATTACCTGGAAAGGAGTTGGCCTGGTTTATCTATTCTAAAAGTTCTCATCACTTTGGGATAGACAAGTTGAAACTTTACCTGCAGGAATTTTTAAGAAAATTTATTGCGCGAACCTTTTTTATCTTAAGAAACGTTTGGAAGTTCACGATCATCTTTATATCGTTTCCTTATGGCCACCAGCTGTAGTATTTTTATCTTTCCCCGTGCGATTACAATTTCCTTATTACAATTGTTTGCGACCTTTTCCCATTGCCCCGATAGATCTCACTACGTATTACATTATTTTAAAGTTAGATAACTTTTAGCGTACGTCAACATAGTATACTTACGAACAGCTTTGAAGGTGGCAGAAAATCCTTGCCCTCCTGTTAAAGAGTCACTTTCAAACTCCACCCAAAGTGTTTGACCTGACGATCGCAGTATGGTTGGTGAGTGGTCGCCACAAAGCTTCGCTAAAGACTGTGAGCTTTCATCTCGACCATCTCTCACTTGGACATGGTCACACGAGCACACAGAAGGGAGATTACACGTCTCCAGTCGAAATGAATCAAATCGCAGCCGCACCTGGAAGCCTTCAGGAACCTGTATTATCCAGGTGCACTTGACACTGTTTGGGTAACGTACGGGAAAACGTGGAGTGGTTAAGCTGCCATTTGTTCCACTTAATATTTTACCCCTGGGGCATTCACTTGCATCTGAAAGGAAACAAAAAGAGGGAAAAACTGCATATCTCACTCGTGAGCCATCGAGTTGAAAACTCGAAGAGAAATTCCATATCTACGCGCGTCCATGTTTTAATCCCTATAAAATAATAGCGAGCGATTTTTTTTAATTCTTCATACGCTACTTCACTTTTTCCAAAGATAAAACTTACTAAATGCTTATTTTCATGTGCATTTGATTTTAAAGGCAACGTATACAAACAATGAACCAGCTATTCTAAATGATTATGCAACGGTTTGAATTAAGGAGAAACTTGAATCTCACATACCCACTGCTATGTACGTTGCCAAGAAACCTTGTGCGTTACTAAAGAAGTCTGAATCGAACTCAACCCACATGAATCTTCCAGATGACATAATTGCACCGGGATTTTCGTCTCCGCAATATTTCGCTAATTTCGGAGAATTGACATTTGGTCCATCTCGTATCTCCACATGATCACAGCTGCAGGTCGGTGAAGGGATTGCGCACTTTTCCATTACGAACACATCAAAACTCAGATGCACAACATGCTCTTGGGGAACTTCTATAATCCACCTGCAAGTCTCTCTGTTTGGATAGTTTGATGGGTAGTTAGGACTAGAGAAACTTCCTGTTGTACCATTGAGAGTGATACCGGCCTCACTACATTGTCCTCTTACCGAGGATAACAGGGTAAAAACTGGAAAGAAAAACAGTGTTACTTTCCAGTATGGTTTCTGTTGATGAGCTGTCTTTTGATATCAAAATTCAAGATAGAGTCAAGTTTGTAAAGTTCAGTAGTATAAGAGTTAGTTTCCCTCCTATATCATTCAAACCTTTGACAAACTTGATTGCGATAAACGGCATTCGAATCAAGTGGTTACGTGGTATGGAGTTGGATATGAGCCTAATTAAGGGCTGCTAGTTGGACAGATGTGGCCAAAACAGTGGACATATATTGAGCATATATGCATATTTTCATGTGCATTTGATTTTCAAGGCAACGTATACAAACAATGAACCAGCTATTCTAAATGATTATGCATCGGTTTGAATCCAAACTGAAACGAAGCAGAATGAGCTTGGAAGAACAGAAAAGCATATTCAGTAAATGAGGGCGAGCCTGAATAAGCCAATCACCAACAGATTACGAGAAAAGCACTCATTCCGGAAGTCA